AAATGTGAAATGTTGTACGAAAATTAGTTTGGGTTACATTTACAAAACATTTTTTTAAAATTTCGTCTTTCCATTTGATAAATATGTGTGGCCTAATAATACTTGCATGGTTCAACATTTTTCACTCCCAACATTACTTTGACAATCCGAAGTCCATTCTTACGACTAAATTAAACTCTCACCGGATTCTTCTTCAACTATGGAATTCTGACTCTACTTTACTGCATACTGTCTACATTCTTCTGGTCTTCTCTTCTTTCTATTTTCCCCATTCTCTATTCTATTCTACTTTTTTCCCTCTTCTCCCAACTCTCTTCTAAGTAAACTCTTATAAAAGAGTATGCTTATATATTCACTACTGACAGATATGGATTGGCATGCCAGCTTGCTGACCTTGAGAGATCAAACATTTGTTGTTGGAACGCTAAACCAAACAATTTCACCAGACTTACCATCTGAACAACAAGGTACTTAATTACCATACCTCCTTTCAATTGAGTCAACTTCTGACTGCGTAAGTCAAAATAAGAACTTTCGTGTGGGTCCAAAGTGAGGTCAATAAACAAACTAAGCACGTCAACTTGAGGGTGTTAGACAAGGCTGTCACAATTTGGAAACTCATCACGACAACTCAAACCTAAATAACTTCGGAATTTGATTTCATACATTAAATACTTTCTAAATATAAACGAAAAATTAAATCATACTGAACTGACCAACTAATTGACTTATTAATTATAAACTGATAACGAAATGCTTCATAACATCATATGGATGCTTACTAAAATTTGCAACTCAGTCAAATTATCATATTGTAGTGATATAGCTGACTGAACGCCATCCTCCAACAGAGAAAGTTGCTGGTCATTTCTTTGAAAGGTCAATTCTAATTTTCGCGTTCACGAGTTTGAAAAAGTTGAGTAACTTAAAACAAAATATAGACTATCGACATCTGAAGTAGAAGAAAGGTAATCAGCGAAATATTATTGACATCGAGGTTTTAGTCTGGGAAAACCTTTTGTCTCTTTTACTTTTTTCGCTATTGATAAACAAACCAATGGCAGCAGTTAGCATTTGACCAATTTTTTTAGAATTCTTGAGGTATTACAGGTCTTTTTAACCCATCGACGCTTGTCAAGTTATAAATCACAATTGACGTCTCAACGTCGAACAATAGCTTTGGGTCACTGGTTCTCAGGCGTGTCACTTTATTTTGGCGACTTTCTTGATGTTTGACTTAGCCGCGATACTGAAAAGTGAAATGGGTTCTTCCTTAACCGCGAACTGTCCAAAGTAAAATTAAAAAAACAAAACAAGAAAACAAACAAACTCCTGCTTCTGTTTCTGATCTCGAAAAATGTTAGGTTAAGCTTAGCCTGTTTTTAAATCCGATTTCTTTTTCATACTCTTAAATAAAGCCGAATGTCGGTGCTCTGATAGTTCATCAGCACAGACCTTTTGAACAAAACCCTTATAAGTCGCTATGAAAAGCGGAAATAAAAAGTTGGCACCGTTTTTCTAATGTTGTTGAAAAAAGCCAATTCAATCTTGGTCAGTTAAACATACTTTATCATATAAACTACGGTGTCATACAAGGATTTCCAGCCCTAAGAAAAGCAGTAACAGCACACGCGAAAAAATACGATATTTTGTCACGTGTGTTTGATATCGCTAATCAGTTGCTGACACGTCACTCGCCTTTCGCATCAATCAGTCAGGTTGATGAACGAACAGCAAAGCCTTCACTATTCTTAATCCATGGTTGTTTGACGGAGTTTTTCTCAGATTATGGCTATTAAAACACTGAAAAATCCTTATCGCTTACAGAAAGTGATGTTAAAATTTCCTAGAAGGGGAAAAAAACCAAAACACGAAATGAAAAACCAAAAGTTTCGTATTCAGTGGCTCTGGTGATGGCATTTCTCGCGGCTTAGAACGAAAATCGATAACTGCAAGTTTTGCCACAGGCCGATTTTGGCTGTGTACCTGAAAGATTTCTTTTGTCTGTTAGGACTAAGTCAATTATTTATTGAAAATTACGCCCATTGTTGATTTCGTAGTGATTTAAGGCATTTTTTCATCTCGAGCCTTAGCGCCAATGCACATTACAATTTTTATTCGGGGATCGTTGATCCTTTTATTTTCATTCGTTAATAAAGTCGACTTTTCTTTCCAGTAAAAGACTATTGTGTTTACACGATAATCGAAATAATACATGTTGCTCGTGGATATGGAATTTCTCTTCTCATGTTCAACTCGATAGCTCACGAGTAAGCGCAGCGAACGAGTAAGGTGACGAGTTGAACACTCGAAGAGAAATTCCATATCTACGCGCGCCCATGTATTATTCTCAATATAGTCTACACATATTGATTGGTTAAGTTTACTGATCTTTTTAACGCTATGATTAACACCAATATCCTTACAGAGGCTAATTAACCAATAACTACGGTCAGGTCTTTGATTTGAAAACAGTCGATTCTTTTCGGAAAAAAATTACGGCTTAATCTGATCTCGTCTGAAACCCTTCGACTACGTTTTCGGTCTGTTATGACGCGAGAACGATGCTTTTAGACTAGAGTTATAAAGACTTTTTGATGACCCTAAGGCTATTAAATAATGTAGGAAACAATGAATAAAGTATTGGTGTAGATACATGTAACTAACGTACACAATTCATTCTTACCTTCGAGTCAGTTAATTCTTCGCAAAGAAACTACCGAACAGCTCTAACCTTTCTGACTTAAAATTTGTTATTTTATAACCCCAAACAGGAACTTTATCGGTTCAATGCGACTTTTGTTGTGATAATTTTGATGCAATCAAAATGAATATTTGCCAAAAACAATGGTTTTTTGTTGATCGATTTTTCGCACCGAGAAAATACTTGATTTGTCTATAATTTAAGATAAGGTAGCTGTTCAAAAGGGTTGCAATTCACGCTGTGACTTAAAGCCCGGCAGCCGAGCACGGTTTCAAATAGACTAAATGCCCGGTAGTCAGAAATTTTCATAGAATTTCCATGAGAAGGTTCGTCCAACTTTCTTAAGAATTTCAGATCTTTGTTTAGAAATGTCAAGCAGTTCCAAATCATGTATGGAATTGTCTTTTAATTGGATAAATTCTCCGAGCCAATTAGGAATTCTATGCTTCTGATCAGACTATTTGGAATATTCGAGGTTATTTAGAAATGCCAAGCGATTCAAAGAATTACGTTGTTTTTGTTTCAGTGGTCAAGCTTGAACGTACCAAACATGTTTTAAAGCTCGGGAGGTCACGTTGGTTTCGTAGAATGTTGCCTTGAGATCGCTGTGGCGTGACAGTTAGGGACAGCTTCAAGTTCAGTAAATGTGGAGGGAAAAAATGCAGAAAACCTCAAATAAAAGCTATGAGGAAAATTCGATGTTTGTCTGCATATCTCATATGGGGGTATTGTGATAAAAGATGCGCCGCCTCTGTTGGAGATCTCTACATCAAGTGAACCAAAATACAGCTTAGGGAAACATGCTGAATTATTGCCAAGTTCACGATTTGGTAGCTTACAGAAAGAACTTTTTATTAAAGAAAGAACTGGTAAAAGTGCCATGTACGAGAGGAATTAGAACTCTTCGAAGACATTTTGGTGAATAATTAAATTTACAACTGTCGGGCATTCAGTCTATTCGAGACGGTGCCCAGCAGTTTGATCAAAACGTAGAAATTCTTAGGGTTAAGAAATGGAGTGCAAAGTTCAGATGGTCTTCAATAACAAGTTACGTGTTACTGATGCCTGACGTTGCGGTTTTATACGAAAAACGATTTGGAGATCCATGAACCAGTAATTTATGTCTGACTAGGGTTAACGAGCTCACCCACAGACCTTTTTATTCATTTTTCGCTTTTTCAATCGACTGTACTTAACTGATGTTTGAAGGAGATCGAAGTTAAATTCAACTGTCTCGAGGTTGCACACGTGGCAAAGTGACTAAACGCTACAACAAGTTAAGTGTTAACTCTACAGTTGTATTCCCGATTATTCACTTAAACCAGCGACAAATCATAAGCCTTTCTCTTCTTTCATCAGGTTTTGCTATGAACAGAAAATCACTTTTCAACAAGATGCTTCAATACTAAGGCGGATAGTTCAGTTCACGTAGAGTATTAAAAATTAATTAATTACGAATGACTAACATCCAATGTTTCCTCACAAATGGATATCTTCCCATTCATGAAGGTCCCGGGAATAGAGAGAATGATCATCAACTAAACAAGCTTTTGACTGTTAAAAATATTCTCTTTCTCAGCACCTTAGAAGATATACCAAGAACAGTATGGAGATTATGCGTACTGATGTTATTGTGTAATGGGTAAAGCAACTAAGAGAGGTGGTTCATAAATCTTCTTGAACTTAGACTCTAGAGCTGATACTCGAAAAGTGATCCGCTACGCATGTAAGTTGATAGTCAATAACGAGACACTGATTGATGCGTCACTGAAGTTAACTTTACTACACCAATATCTGAGGCGAAATGTGGCTTCCAAAATTAATGATCTAGATAGCCTTTTTGAAATTACACATGGAACCTCCTTACATAAAACTAAAAAAACGACAACAATAGCAAAATTAGCTTAACGCCTGTCAGATGCACCAATGGCAACATCTTGCAGGCTACAAATGGTAATAATAAGGGCGCCATCCTCTGTAAGTTTGAAAACAGTACAGCCAGTTACAAAGAAACGTTACATTTCATAAACAAAAATTCTCATACTCCATTTTATGAATTTTAATGCTTTAATCTACACTTTACATCGTGCGCAAATCTAGCTTAAAACATTAAACCGAGGTCGAAATAATCTATAGTTTTCTAACAAAGTACAAATCCCCGGGTCCGAGTCAAGGGGCTGATGAGGCTGATGAATTATTCTGTGTTCGTGGACGGATTACTCAGTCAGACTCTGCTGGAAAAAATAACAGTCAAATAACAGTTAATCAAATTTGAGAGGAATTTAGGTGAAGTTTCTTACAAAGCAATGATAGTTGCATACCTTCTCTGCCGACATTTGAAATCTGGTGTAAACACATCCAGGTTCATTTTGGGCAGCTTATTACAATCCACGAATACCTTTGACTGTTGCAATACCCTCTTGGGGATAGATGGAATGTCCTCAGCATTGTCGCAGATTATCTTGGCCAATGTAACCTTTCTTATTTCTTGCAGTTGGCATCGCGTAAAAGCTGTTTTATCAGTGTCCAGGCTTCGGTTTGGTGCATTTTCATGCCAGAAGCGGTCACCCTCTCGTAGGCGTTTGAACTGGTCAGCTAATAGACATTGAAAGGTTTTCCCTAGTGCTCCTCCCTCTGAGTCTGCAGGCTCCAATATTCCTGTGAAGAGTCATTAAAAAGGAACAATTACTCACAAACGCTGTTTTAAACCTTCCTCCTCCTGCGCTTAATTATTTCACTTGTGTAAGTTTAACGAAAGTGAAATACAGATATGCCCCAGTGCCTGGCGTTTTTTTTTTGTTTGGATTCTGGAGTACGCATAATTAAGCGAATCCTTCATTATGATTGGCTACTCGAGTAGGCGAGGTTCGGTAACACCGGCTTTGATCCCGCAAAAGGAAACAAAGAGCTTGTCCCTGGTTCCCATGCTGGTTTTCTTCCCCTTCTAGGAAAGTTTGAACGTCACTGTCCTTAAGCGATAAGGATTTTTCAGTGTTTTAGCAGCCTTAATCCGAAAATATTCCGACAAACTAACTCGTAATGAGAATCGTAAAGGCTCGCTTATAAGATAACTCGCGTTCCCCCGCGCTTGAGGCAGTTTGCTTGCTTTTTCTTGCAGTTCTAGATGACTCCTAATGATATGTACTGATTGGTAGTTGTGATTGCTTTGGTTTAAGAATTACGACTCTCAATCAAAATGCACTCTATAAAGTAGTCCGGGATTGCATCTGTCAGTTTTGTTTCACTATTCTTTGTGGCCGGTCAAGAAAAGTTACGCCGCCGTCTTAAACAATCAGGTGAAAAACTTCAAACAAAGACGACTTGGTCACTTACGTTTTTCTGTTCTTCAGTCAGTTTTCTAGCTTTTCCCCCTCCCTTCTTTATGAGTTCTGATTGGCTTCCTATGATGATTTGCTTTGTTTTGATTGGCTGATGTAATTACTTTAGACTTGGTTTCACAACACTCAATCGAAATTGGCTGAATGGCGGCATTACGCTGGCGCATACATACCTCCAACGAAAAGATCGACGTCGTGGACTGACTGGTACTGGGACTTCAAATTATCTATATCCTTTTGGGTGATGCCAGCCTTTTGCAGATCTTCGAAGCTGTTTACTATAGGCGTAATTTTACAAAACGTGTTTCGATATGTTGTGTATGAAGGCAAACCACGTTCGCGTCCTCTTTGGATGTTCAGGGATACGAGGTCGGACAAGTCACCAGGGCCTCGAAACAAGTTTTCTTGTACAGACTTGGAAAAGAGCCTGGGGAGAGAATCAGGTCAACCCAGGGATCAACCTTATGCAAATCAATATCGTGTATTGAGTAACTGACAAACCTAGTCATAATTAATATTACGGAAATGGGATATTTTCGATAACCGGATTTATTGCTGTAATGATAATATTGGCTCGCTTTTTCAGTCCAGACAAGAGATACGTAGAAAAATGTTCAATTAAAAATTCATCTCGTACTCACCCATCAACTTTGGATGCTGGACTTTTAACCAAGCCTCTAAAAATGGAATCGACACCCCCATTACACTTATCGTATAAGTAGGTTGGATTACCAAAGTCCTTTACTGGGATGGGCAAGAACTCTGACTTAGAATCATTGCTACATTTGTGGTCAAAGCCATTCTGACTTAAGCGTAAAAACTCCTCTTGAACCATACTGTGACCAAATCGGTAAGCCGCCGCAGAGAAGGCTTGAGACGTTTGGGCATTGATACAAGAGTTGTAACCATTAAAATACCGTGTTCCTTTCAGCAGAGCGAGGTTGTTGTCTCTGATCTACAAAATGAAGAAAAGAAGTCAGTTGGGAATTCGAAAAAAAAAACAAAGATTAATACAGTTACTTACCGTTTTGGGGCTAAGAAGCAGTGGCAGAAATTCGTTGTATGTAATGAATTGTAATTCCGCCCCAACTATTCTTCTGGTCTCCTGGTAAATCTGCTCCGCTTCCCATCCTGTGTTTTTATCGAAAAATGTTGCTATTCGGTTATGCTCCCGGACGAAGAGAGTATGAACTGACATGAGACCTGTTGTATCCATAAAATATATATCATTAGCAAGAAGATAAAAGAGCTATTTAATGTAGGAGGAGATGGAAGCGCTTGAGACAGGAAGATGTTCGACAAATACCCGCGCAGGATACTCTCTATATTACTTGTCGAGTATGAGTTATTTCATTACCTGAAATGACCGAAAAGCAGTTTCTCCTCGCAACACGAGCACTCCCTCAAGTAGAAAGGTGACGATATAGCGTACATATCAAAAAAGGGTATATTATTTGATTTACGAATTACCAAGAACTAATACCGTAAGAAAATTATGCAGACATTCAGAAGTGTTGAGATCTTGGGACCAACAGGGTTAAACAGAGCTCATGCGCAATTTCATCATTTTAGTCACGTCTTAATGGGGACGTCTCTGAACAAGTCTTGACACCTTCTACCTTCTGCGTGGTCTACATGTGTAGAAGTAACAATATTTTACAGTTTTATTATAAACATTCGATATGAATACGCTATAGACCTGTTTGAAAAAGGTCGATATACCACGGTCTATTTGTCTTAATCAGAGAAGCGAATGAAGTTATTTGGTGACCTCACCTTGATTCTCGTTCGCGCGCTCGTCTCCGGCTACGAAACAAGGTCTGTTAGGATCTTTTGATGCGCATGGTATCTCAGAATCATTTTGTGCAGGTAAAAGATCCCTCAAGGGGCAGCCGTGATGAGGTGTCCTAATTTTCATTGTCCCGTCGGGTGCTCGAAGGTGTGCAGCCTCCATCTCGTTAGAGCCGTAAACGTTGGAGGCGTCGATGAAAGCTGTTATGTTGTTGGTGTGCTCTCTTGGTCCTGGTGCACACTCTACCTTAAACTCATGGGGAGCATCTCGAATCAGCTCGAAGAATGTAACACCCCTGCTCTGGAAGACGTCATCATCGGCCGGAACTTCAACGTTGAAACACTCTGACTCATTAGATGGAACGGTTTTACAGGTAACAGTTTTTTTCCGCGTCAGCGTTAAGTCATGGTCCAGGAACTGAGCCCAATTCATTGCTAAGTGAGTCAGCTTTGGCGAATTAGGGTTTTGGCGGTCTGAATTACTGCCATGGACGAAACGACTCACGTTTCTCGCATTAGGTAACTGGTCTCCACTTTGTGCCACGCGAGGTGCCGAGACCTTATCTTCATAATCAGCTGGTTGTACTCGTCTGAATGGAGTACCAGCTGCTCCAAAAAAGGGTTGATCCACGTTGTTGCAAGTTCCATCAATTGTTCTAAAACGGGCCTTCTCCTCAGACTTATTCGGACATTTTATGTTCTCTAGGGGTTCGTGTTCTAAACATTTAAGAACCTTCCTCTTGCATATCCTTCTTCTCCTGTTCCTGAAGGAAAAAAGTGAACATAACTTGTTTATAAATAGAAATCCGCTAGAAATTCAAATACCACCACAAAAAAAAGGCAAAAAGAAACGCGCCAGTAATTATAAAGGACGATAAAGGTATTAGCAAGGTTGAGGCGCCCTGGCTAAAATTGACTTTGGCAGCTTTGGCTTAACAAATTACGGTAAAAGGGTAGGCGTAAGCTCTAGATTAAAATATGTTCTCGAGAGAAAAAGTTCAGACTTTCGTTTAAAGAAAAGTTGAGGAATTATGGTTAATCTAATCCTTTGTGGGTACCTTAAAGAAAACAAACAAACAAACAAAAAAATCGTGCGCGCTTCAGTTCTTAAGAAACCACCCCAAATCATTGAACAGGTTTTTAGCAATAGTAATTGTACTGAGTGGAGTCTAATTCGGTTCGAACTCGGTTGAGCTGTTTGGTGCAGCAAGGTCGCTAAGGAGTTCCTGCCTAATGGAGATCAAGACACCTTGAAAGATTATCAACTTTTTTACAAAAATACATTTTTCTCAATAAATTGCGCGCATTTTAAGATTTTAAATTTGATGTTTTTGAAAATGCAGGTTTAAGTAATTAAGCTCTGAACGTCATTTTTGTGTTCTGGTTTTGGAAACCTACCTTCTAATCTTCCATAAATCCATGGCTTCCTTTCTGATATCTTTGGAGACGTTGGCCGACACGTTTGCTGTAGTGTAGGTGTCTCCGTCTAACCGGTCTGTGTAGTTCAAAACAGAAGAGGATCCGTGCTCAAGTACCACAACCAAGATAAGCAGCAAAGCACTGAGAAAATATCCTGCCATGTTTTCTAATGAAGAGAAAAATAAAGTAACTTGAAGTCGTCAACATAAAGGTCAATCAATTCATTATTGACATGAATTGACATTACTGTTTTTAAAATTAAACTTATAAATGTTGATAAGCTTCATTGATTTCATTTTTGCAAAATACAGTCTTGTAAAACTTGCAGTGATTCGTATAAGCGCAAAACTAGATTGTTTCTTTGGTGGTTTCTGTGTCACAGCAACATAAAACTTGATTTCAACTTATTCTTTTAAATCGAGGTGGATAGTTTCTAAAAGAAAACCACTAAAATTCGATCAAGGCCACTGGCGCATGAAACTTCGTTTTAGTCATGCGCATTGGGACATGAAAGTCTGAAATTATAGCAACTCTTTGCAAGTTTGACACACGCGCTGATTCAGAGCGAATTCGTAAAACTTTCCACGGAAAATCTGCATAAGAATACGTTTGGACAACTCATGTGGCGTGTTTCAAGGAATTATTGATGAAATGTATGATCAACAACCTCTTCGCTTCCGACGTCTGACCTTGGCAGTCGCCGTTGCGGATTCAAACCCCTCGTCAGATTTATGGCATGTGACAGCGAAAATAAGGAGATTTTCAATATTCTCTGACAACAAATCATTAATGTCGATATTTCCCAACTCATTCTATGGTGAAAGGGTGGTGATGTGGCTACTACAAAATTGTTAACGGCCGCGCTCTGCGATTGAGGTAAGGTTTGCTAAATATATTTGCATGAGACTGAGCTGTCCGCTGTTTGCCGGTACTGACACTCGCAAATCATCCCAAAGAAGTTTCATTTAAAATACTAATGTCAGTTGTGTCTGCTTTAGAAAGCAGTCTCGTATAATCCCAATCTCCTTTTAATACGTATGCAGTTATTTGTTGCGGGCAAGGAAATTTTCTTTTCAGATTTGCATGTCTTGTGAACTCTGCCTTAAATTTCTCATTTCTGTCTGTACGGTTGCACGTTTAAGCTTAGAGAGTACACGGAAAGTACTTTAAAACGCAGATGTAAAATATTGTGCGACAACGAGTTTGGTTCACAATTTTAAAAGCCAAGAATGATTTCTGCTTTTCATATAATTATTATGCATGGCCTAATGACGCTTGCTTAGTTAAACTGTTCATGTTCACTTACAAGATCACTTTGGCAATCGGAAGTCCATGAGAATGTTTATTAAAATTTATTCCTGAGGCATAAACAATTCCGTAACATTATTAGGCCGCAGAGATATAGCTAATAAAATTTAGTGCCAGGGTGTCCTCCAACAAGGAAGTCGCTGGTTTTTGGTTTGAAAGATCTAATTTCTGCGTTCCAGTGAGTTTGAAACTAACCGCCGTCGTAATGTAAGGTAAATTACAACGACATACTATATCGAAAATAAAATCTGAAGTCGTGGGAAGGTAATCAGCAAAATACCATAGCCATCAAACGGCAGCATGCATCGTAGAATTTTCGTTGGCTAATTGGTCATTTTAACCCATATTACGTATTAGCCTAGCATGTTTTTGAAAGCCATTTCTTTTTCATAATCGCGAATAGAGCCGAGTGTCAGTGCTCTGATAGATCGACTTTACAACAGGCTGTTAATCAGACTAAAGACCTTCTAAGTCGTTACTGAGAAAAGCAAGGATAAAAAGTTTGCACCGTGGTACCATTGTTGCATAATGGATTGAAGAAAGCCAATTGCAATTTAATCATATTTGTGTAAAATTAATAATCTAGCTATTTATAGCTGTGTTTGTATTTTCTGTTCATTTGAATGCTGCAGTCATCACCAATATCCTTAAAAGGGATAATTAATCCAGTGATTACGATCAGGTCCTTGATTTGAAAACAGGCGGTTCTTTTCGGATGGAAAGCAACAAAATATGGCTTAATCTGATATCGTCTGTAACCCTTTCCGAAACCCTTCGAGATTTTTTGTTGGTCCGTTATGACGCGAGAACGATGCCTATGGAGTTAACTTAGAACATTAAGTCCTTACAGACTTAGATGATAATTAAAAACAATTAGTATTGGTATTGATAACTAACTTAGTATCAAGTTCATTCTTACCTTCAAGTCAGTTGATTCTTCACACTGGAACGAACAAATCACTCTAACTTTTCTAACTTAAAACTTCTTATTTTATAACTCCAAACAGGAACTCTTAAGATTATTGTGTCTTCTGTTGTGGTCAGTTGTAAATGCCATTAAAATGACTATTTGGCACAGACAACGTGCATGTCCTCCAACAAGGAACTTGCCCCCAAAAAAATCTTTCTCAAATTTTCCGTTATTACCATTACGTAAAGGTCTCTGCCAAATTCCGCATTCAAAGGTTAAAAAGAAACACAACAGTATTGTCAGTAATCGACACTCGGCTCTCAAGAGGAAGTCGAAGTTGAAGAAATAAAACCAGAGCAATATTGACAAATGCTGCCGAGATCAGGTTTTTGTGAGAGGCACTTAAGTCTGCAAACCCATTTTTCTTTATTGTACTCGCTATTTTGGTTATTTATCGAACAAACTTTAATGTCTTATTAACTAGTTGTATGAGTTTAGTGCATGGATGTCTTCCAAAAAGGAACTCGTTAATTGTTTAGGGTCAATACTATTTGTCTTTATTTTTGGAAAAAGCGGCTCGTCAAAAAGGTTGCGGCTGATATTTGTTATATTTGGCTTAATTTTATTTGCATTGCCTTGCAGTTTTCGCATTCAGGATCACTTTAGAAAGCTGAAGTACCAAAAGATGTTGACCTAAATTTAATCTTGGGTTATACATCAATTATGTAGCTTTGATTTTATTGTTGTTTGAGTATAATACGTGCATGTCCTCCAACAAGGAGTGTGCAAAAAAAAAAATCTTTCTCAAATTTGCCATTATTACTATTGCCTAAAGGTCTCTACCAAATTCCACATTCATAGGTTAAAAAGAAACACAACAGTATAGTCAGTAATCAGTACTCGGCTCTCAAGAGGAAGTAGAAATTGAAGAAATATAACCAGAGCAGTATTGACAAGTGCTGCCGAGATCAGGTTTTTGTAAGAGGCACTTCAAGTCTGCAAACTATTTTGGCAGATGTGCATGTCTTGCAACAAGGAATTTGCCATAATTACTATTACCTTCTTGGGTTATACATCAATTATGTAGCTTTGATTTTATTGTTGTTTGAGTTTAGTACGTGCATGTCCACCAACAAGGAATTTGCAAAAAAATTGATCCATACAATATCCGAACTTTCTACATTCAATCGTTCCCAAGTCTCAGTTACAAGATAGTGATTCTATTTATCTGCTATTACAACGGAAATACACGCCTGAAGTACGTAAATCCATGATTGACATTACTTATTCGTGATTTACTAAAAATCCCAAGATATTTCCTGTCAACTTGGTTTTAACAGCTGTTTCTCATTATACGCCGATCAACACTTCTGTAATTTATACCCGCACGCACTATTGCGGCACGAATGACACCTCACGCAACGTCACAGGATGTTCCAGTCTAAACGCATACGCACAATTTCCCTATGCAATTCCTTATCTAATTATTTCAGACAATTACTGATTTTCTATATCACGAACATTCTTACTACAAGTCTGCCATTACCGTGCTACGTTCAGTTATACACCTAAATCTTAAGTAACCCAACTGTCATCAGACCTTTAGCTTAATTACTAAATTAGAAAGAAAGTGTCACGCGATACGCTTACAAGACTATTACGACACCATTGAATGGCAAGGAAATTCACCGTGAGCAAATCAAAATTAGTTTTTTATAGTTGCGAGAGGGTGTTTGTTTGATGTAGTAGAGCGTATCAACTTTGTCTTTCTTCTAACGTAAAATAGAAGTTAACTAAGGTAGTTTTAGACACGCTGAAATTTGATGAGGACGTCACTCATTGAATTCGAGGCAGAAAGAGAGGAAACATAAGCAATGTATTACCGACAATAAATTTTTCCCCTTAATGCCGGAGTGTAGAGCTGTAGTTAATCTTCAACCCAACAGCAACTGCTATGGCATTTTTCGGCATAAAAGGAGTTGAGAGTTCCGTAAGGCAATCACATCCCCTGCAATCTTCAAGTACTCCACCTCTACGTACCACTGTGGCGCCCACGCTAGCCAAGAACACGAAACACGAACCGGTTGATTAACCAAAAGGTTGCACATGGGTCAAATTATTCACCGGTTTGCGGCTATTTACGGCAATTTTTCCCTAAGTTGTTACCGAAAGAGGCTGTCGAGTATGAAGTGGAAAGTTCAGATGGTCTTCAATAACAAGGGACGTGTTACTGATGCTTGACGTTGCCGCTTTATACGAAAAACGATTTGGAAACCCATGAACCAGTAATATTACGTCTGACCACCGACCTTTTTATTTATTTTTCGCTTTTTCAATCAACTGTGCTTAACTGATGTTTAAGGGGATCGAAGTTACTGAATTCAACTGTCTCGAGGTTGCACATGTGGCAAAGTGACCAAACGCTACAACAAGTTAAGGGTTAACTCTAAAGTTGTATTCCCGACTACTCACTTAAACCGGTGACCAATCATAAGCCTTTCTCTTCTTTCACCAAATTTTGGTTTGAACAGAAAATCGCTTTTCAACAAGATGCTTCAATACTAAGGCGGATAGTTTAGTTCACGTAGAGTATTGACAATTAATTAATTGCGAATGACAAGCATCCAATTTCTCCTCACAATATCACCCCATTTATGAAGGTCACGGGAATAGAGAGAATGATCATCAACTAAACAAGCTTTTGATTGTTGAAATATTCTCCTTCTCAGCACCTTAGAAGATACACCAAGAACAGTATGGAGAATATGCGTACTGATGTTATTGTGTAATGGTAAGGCAACTCATAAATCTTCTTGAACTTAGACTCTAGGGCTGATACTCGAAAAATGATCCGCTGCGCATGTAAGTTGATAGTCAATAACGAGACATTGATTGATACATCACTGAAGTTAACTTTACTACACTAATATGTGAGGCGAAATGTGGCGAGCTTCCAAAATTGATGATCTGGATAGCCTCTGTGAAGTTACACATGGAACCTCCTTACATAAAACTAAAAAAAACGACAACAACAGCAAAATTAGCTTAATGCCTGTCAGATATACCAATGGCAACATCTTGCAGGCTACAAATGGTAATAATAAGGGCGCCATCCCCTGTAAGTTTGAAAACAGTACAGCCAGCTACAAAGAAACGTTACATTTCATAAACAAGCGATCTCGCTGAAAATTCTCATACTCCGTTTTAGGAATTCTAATGCTTTGAAATACGATCTATATCATGCGCAAACATTAAACCGAGGTGAAAATAACCTATAGTTTTTCTAACAAAGTACAAATCCCCGAATCGGAATTAAGAGGCTGATGAATTATTCCATGTTATTCTGGATTACTCAGTCGATCCTTCGTCATCTTCATCCTTAAGGTCTGAGGCGTCACCCCAGACTCTGTTGGAAAACAAAACAGTAAAATAACAGTTAATTAAATTTGAGAGAAATTTAGGTGAAGTTGCTTACAAAGCAATGATAGTTGCAAACATACCTTCCCTGCCGTGGACATCTGAAATCTGATGTAAACACATCCAGGTTCATTTCGGGCAGCTTATTACAATCGACGAATATCTCTGACTGTTGCAATACCCTCCTGGGGATAGATGGAATGTCCTCAGCATTGTCGCAGATTATCTTGGCCAATGTAACCTTTCTTATTTCTTGCAGCTGGCATCGTGTAAAAGCTGTTTTATCAGTGTTCTTTCTTCGGTTTGGCGCATTTTCATGCCAGAAGCGGTCACCCTCTCGTAGGCGTTTGAACTGGTCAGCTAATAGACACTGAAAGGTTTTCCCTAGTGCTCCTCCCTCTGAATCTGCCGGCTCCAGCATTCCTGTGAAGAATCATAACAAAGGAACAATTACTACAAACGCTGTTTTAAACCTTCCTCCTCCTGCGCTTAATTATTTCACTTGTGTAAGTTTAACGAAAGTGAAATGCAGATATACCCTAGTGCCTGGCGTTTTTTTTTTTTTCGGATCCTGGAGTAGGCATGATAAAGCGAATCCTTCGTTACGATTAGCTACTCGAGTGGGCGAGGTTCGGTAGCACCGGCTTTGATCCTGCAAAAGGAAACAAAGAGCTTGTGCCTAGTTCTCATAATGGTTTTTTCCCCTTCTAGGAAAGTTTGAACGTCACTGTCATTGAAAGTGATACGTGTTTCAGCAGCCATAATCCGAAAATGTTCCGACAAAGTACCTCGTAATGAGAATCGTAAAGGCTCGCAGGACTAGAAATCCTTGTATAACACTGTAGTTTATATGATAGCTCGCGTTTCCCCGCGCTTGAGGCAGTTTGCTTGCTTTTTCTTTCAGTTCTAAATGGCTCCTTATGATATGTGCCTATGTACTAATTGGTAATTGTGATTGCTTTGATGTTGGATTTACGACACTCAATCGAAATGTACTCTATAAAGTAGTCCGGGATTGCATCTGTCGGTTTTGATTCACTTTTCTTTGTGGCCGGTCAGGAAAAGTTACGTCGCCGTCTTAAACAATCAGATGAAAAACTTCAAACAAAGACGACTTGGTCACTTGCGTTTTCCTGTTCTTCAGTCAGTTTTCTTGCTTTTCCCCCTCCCTTCTTTTTGAGTTCTGATTGGCTCCCTATGATGATTTGCTTTGTTTTGATTGGCTGATGTAATTACTTTAGACTTGGTTTCACAACACTCAATCGAAATTGGCTGAATGGCGGCATTACGCTGGTGCAGACATACCTCCAACGAAAAGATCGACGTCGTGGACTGACTGGTACTGGGACTTCAAATTATCTATATTTTTTTGGGTGATGCCAGCCTTTTGCAGATCTTCGAAGCTGTTTACCATAGGCGTAATTTTACAAAACGTGTTTCGATATGTTGTGCATGAAGGCACACCACGTTCGCGTCCTCTTTGAATGTTCAGGGATACGAGGTCGGACAAGTCACCAGGGCCTCGAAACAAGTTTTCTTGTATAGACTTGGAAAAGAGCCTGGGAAAGAATCAGACCAACCCAAGGATCAATCGTGTGCCAATCAATATCGTGTATTGAGTATTAATAATCCTACTCATAATTGATATAAAATCGGATATTTTCAATGACTGGATTTATTGCTTTAATAATAAATATTTCCTATCA